TATGTCATAGTTCAATGTCTCTCACTTGTCAGTAAAAGACTTGTATATGTACTACATACCTATAATTTTTTTGTTTTGCACTCTATAGATAAAGGTTGACGGGGAATGATTCAAGACCTTTTTATTTTATTTTATTTTTTGCTATTATGTATTGTATTATTGTTAAAAGCCTTTTAACAAGCACAAGTGATTCCACCCCACCATTTACCTCAAAAAGCTAACAAGACTATTCCGACTATTTAGCTGCTTGTTCAAGTTACTCCTATATCTTAAGCAGCTAGAACAAAAGACAGTTTACTCTTTAACCAACAAGATCCAATATCCCATTCAAAATTAAATTTCAATAAATCCACCCCCAAGACCCAATGATCGGTTCCTAGATGACAAGAACAAGACAAAGTTTAAGACTGAATCATGGAACATCTAATATACTCTTGGGTTAGCCCCAACAAAAAAAAAAAATTGGTTTATGGGTTTTAATGATTGTGCTGAATTAGAATCCTAACAGAGAATGGTACAAAAATGCTATGCTTCTACAGAGGTATTTCATCGAACAATTAACATTCAGCTGCACTTTAGTCTCTACGTTGGAACTTTCATGGCATAGGATTCATTTAGACTACTCAACAAACAGTTGCAGTTTCATTGATTAAGCTAATTAAATTACAGAAGAAAGAAGACTTCTAACTAAACTCATGCTCATTAATCGTATTGAGGCACTTCATTAAACAATTCGCTATCCAGCACACTCTGCATAAAAGAATTTCATGGGATCGGGTTCATTTAGGCATTTCATCGAACATTTACAGTTCCGTTCACTGAAATTAGCTAAATTACAGAAGCAAGAAGTCTTCTAATAAATCCACGTTTATTCATTAATGACTAAAAATCTTAATTAAAAAAAAAGGAGGAAGATGTGACCTTTACATGAGATGACAGATGAGGCGGCGTGGTGATCGCCGGCTTGTCGCAGTTTCTCGTTAGCGTCGGCGGTGGGGACGAGGTTTATAGGAGGAAGAAAGACATTTGTGCAATCGAGATAGGGAGGGATTTGGAATTTTAAGGAATCGATTTGGGATTTGTCCCTTTTTAGGAGAAAAAAATGGTAAAATCGTACCCTCGTCATTGTAAAAAGCTAAATAAATCATGGGTTATTTGCCTATATACCCTTCAAACTATGGGTATTTGTAATAGGCCTTCCAAATTTTGGTATTTACAAAACCACCCCTCATATTATCAAAAATTTGTGAAACATACCCTTAAAATCAACAAATCGTCAAGTTGGTGGTGTTAAACTTCCGCCGCGCACAACAATATATATATATATATATATATATATATATAGAGAGAGAGATAGAGAAGTTTTCGGATGCGAAAACTGTTCGCACGGTTACTGTGCGAAAACGAAGAATGGCCTTTGGATTTTCGTTTTCAACCATGGCCGTTGGATTTGGTGCCCAATTCCCAAAGTAAAAACTTAACTCCCCGTAAAAGCCCCCTCTCTCTCCCCAGAACCCAAACCCTCTTCCTTCCCAAATCCCTCTCCTCTCCTTCTCATCTCTTCACGCCGTCGAGCCGCCGACCGACAACTCCTCCTCCGCCGACCGACAACCTCCTCCTCCGCCGACCGACAACTTCCTCATCCGCCCTCAACATCCTCCGCCGACCGACAACACCTCCGCCGACCGACAACCTCCTCATCCGCCTTCAGCCGACGACCGACAACTCCTCCTCCGCCTTCAACCTCCTCCTCCGCCTTCAGCCGCCGACCGACGACTCCTCCTCCGCCTTCAACCTCCTCCAGAGGTTACATTCACGATTTAGGGTTTTGTTATTGGTCTCTTTTTATTTGTTCTCGATTAAAAATTGATTGATTGTTCTTCTAAATAATTGTGAAGATGGGTTATTGAGGTTAATGGAGCGCAGAAATTAACTTCGTCATCGTATCTCTTCACTGGGGGAATAGAAGAGGGGGCGGACAAATTAATCAGGTGAGCTTCGATTTTATCTGATTTAGTAGTTTTTATTAGGCCGAAGATTAATCAGATAAATCTTTGTTAGAATCGAGTGTACTTTGATGGAAAACAGTTGTCTCTTTTGAATTTGATGTGTTTTTGAGTTACTTGGTTGTTTGGACTGAATTTCATCTTTGTTAGAATCAGGTTAGAATCAGATTTCATCTTGGTTGTTTGGACCGAGTTCCATCTTTGTCTTGGCATCAGATTTCATCTTGTTTGAATTAGGAAAAAATCGAGTCTGCTTCGATTAATCACACCTGATTAGGTCATGATTAGGTGATTTCATATAAGTTTGAATCAGATAAAAATTAATCACACACATTACCCTATTGTCATTGATATTCATACTACGTATAGGATATATGAAAATTTTATATGCAAACAGATGATTGCCAACTGTTTTTCCAGCATGAAACTCTGACTTGGCATTGTCATGGAAATCTTCAGCAATCTTCAGCATGAAACAACTGTTTTATATGCACTTTGTTTTTTTTTATTTTTTTTTAATACAGATGAAGTTCTCACTATTGCGTGAAGTTTGATCAAGGTTTGGCAGAGCAAATCTTAGCATTATTGGTGAGAATTCGTGATCTTCGTTATGTATCTGTGTTTTTGAGGTGTGATTGAGCAAATGGGTAATTCATGATCAATTTTCTGCAGATTGTCCTTCATTGCGGTTACAACTTCAGAAGTATGTAGGCCATGCAGATAGTGAACTAATATGTATCTGTGTTTTTGTATCTTTAATATGTTGTAACATCATATGTCGGTTGTCTGTGTTTTTGTATCTTTAATATGTTGTAACATCATATGTCGGTTGTCTCAGTGATTTGTGCTTGGCGTGTCACTGGATATTAAACAGGACAAGTGGTGCTATTATTTGTGCTCATGGCTATTATTTGTGCTCACTGGTTATTATTTGTGCTCATGGTGCTCATGGTGCTCACTGGATATTATTTGTGCTCATGGTTATTATGTTGACTTCAAAACACACGATAGGATTCCAAGATTATCTGGAAATTGGTACAATAAATTTTTGAACATTCCTACAATGCTTCTAAAGCCAGGGATTGACATGAAATCCTCGATCTAATTTATATTACGGAACCTAGCATTTTTGTACACATATTATTGGTATAATGGTCAGCTTAGCTTATTTGTGTATGTAAATTGAATTTATTATTTAGCTCCAATTCCAGAATGTAACTATTTGAGATTTGCAGTAAATAAATGAGAGTTTGAATACATGTGATTTGCATCTAAAAGGACAGCCAGATCAAAGCATATCACAACTATTTGAGACTTGTCATATACTTTGTGTTCCAATGTTATGTACTCTTCTCCGTCCTATACTTTGTGCATAAAAGATGTTCTATACTTCTTTTTTCATCATGTACTTGTGTTTTGATGATTTGTGTTGCTTTCTGTTCGTCGTCGTCGTTGTTGTTGCCACTCAGTAATACGTAATCTTACCATTTGCGACACAATAACTGCACTTTTTTCCAGAGATGTAGAGGCTAAGAAAGTCCAGATGTTATGATCGGTTGGCTTGAAGCATGACAAATAATCAGGTGTTTTATGGAGTTATATGTCGGTTTGCTTTAGCTGGGTTTTGGAATTTTATGGAGTTAGTTTGAAGCATGACAAATAATCAGGTGTTTGATGCTTCTAAAATCCACATTCGATTCAAACACATGTACAAGCAGCATTTATAAATTACTAATAAAGACAAAGAACAACAAG